CGTTCGAGAAATTTAGTTTTCTACCTTGGATATTTTCTAATTAAATAATTCTGTATCAAATAATTTATTTTATATTGAAAATAGGAAAATCATTTGAGGATATTCGAACAATTGTTTTCCACATTAATTTTTGTTATTTAGGTGGAGTCTTTGACAAATATTTCAAAGGCGAATATTTAAAGGATTTTCAGTTAATTTCTATTATTTTTCTATAGCTCATCACATGATCATTTTCTATAGCTAATCATCATGTTAATCATATGAGCAAACCAGATTTCATTTAAACTCAAAGGTCTTGAAACTACGACATAAGCGATGAATAAGTAGACCTTTCTGAAAATTATTGGATCCTGTTACTAGATAGAGATCTCCACAGTTGTCGGAGATAACTCCGTGAGTATTCTGGGTACCTTTATGCAATCATGACCGCGGGCACTAGAGTTGAAGGTCTAGTGCGATTGCGTAAAACAGTGCGTAATAATACTACACGTAAAGTGATATTCCTGTATACATAAGCAAGGTAAAATTTAATTTATAGCATGGTAAAATTTAATTTATAGCATGGTAAAATTTAATTGGTCCGACATTACCTTTATTACATAGAGTAATAGTAAGATATACCGTACGCTGTCTTAAACATCAATGATACACTTTTTCTCTCTCTCTTAAATATAAAATTGCCAATTAAAAGTCAGAGGTCGTGACGTTTTAAGTCTAAAAGATAATAAAACCGTGAAAAATATTGTACCTTTACCGTGTAATAGTATAAAGTTAGAAGGGATGGCAAAACGACAAGAAAGCATTATACTTCCAATCGATTTTTCTGTCAGAACTCAGCGTAAGTAATGAAACATCGGTCCAAATCGCGTTTCCATATTTATGCTTATAGTCGAGACTACCATGTGGAAGGCAGTATTGATAACGTCCGGACTGTTGTATTTCACTTGTAGCTGATACTTGCCTGACTCATATTTTGTAGCTTATAAACAATTATTTGAATTCAGTTTTTTTTTTTTTTTTTTTTAACTCAGTATATATCATACAATTGCTGCAAATCAGAATCACGATCAAAACACATAGCAAAGTTCGTAAAAAATATTCATGAATATATTTGAGAATCATAAAACTTACTTTACACAAAATCATAATTTCTCTACAGAAGCTACAGTACATTGCAACAAGCCTTTTTAGAGCTAAAACTCATTTGGTTACGGTTTCCTTCTTACTGAAGAAATTAGGAAGCATTAAATGAGTTTGTAACTTAGTGAATGAAAATTCAAAAGAAATCAACTGAACAACCACTTAAAACTATCAGAATTATCTAAGTCCTGCTATTATTCCATTAAATTATTTAATATGTTCCAGAGAAATAGGCAAAATGTTTGGATCGGCAATTATAAGACTTTCGACAATATTTTTGAATACATTAGTTATACAGACAGGAAAAAGCTGAGGCAAGTCAGGCATTCGCCTCAGGTAAATGGCTTGAAGGGGCTCTAAGTTAGTCGCAAAATTTTAGATATACATTTAAAAAGTAAATTATAATTAGCTTTCAATTTTGAAACGTATCGAGAAACGCAGTTTTAAAATTCGAAATTTAAATCAATGAAAAAGGGCTCTGTATTCTCGAGTACTTCGCGGGCTTTTAATAAATTAATCAACCAAATCAGATATTTAATTAATTATTAATGATCTAATATTTAAAATGGGGCAAAAAATTATTGTTACATATTTTGTGTAACGTTCAAGTAATTTGCTTTATACGTATTTATATGAAGTTATAGCTAGAAATAAACTCCTGTAGAAACTATTAGACAAGATAGCGAGTTATCCCTATGTCTTAAACACAAAGTATTGAAGAAGGTTTAAAATAACCTTTTTTTATTTTTGTCTAAATTGAAAATAAAGGCACGACTACCAACTGTGGTTATTTAAATTAAACTTCAGATAAAACCAGCACTTGTTATTTAAATTAAGCAATCAATAGAATAAGAAGAATACGCATTCAATAGAATAAGAAATAAGCTGGTTCAAAGTATTGCGGGCTAGCAAATTTAAAGCATCGGCTAGCGAGAAATGGTAAGGCCGGAAATATCAGTTTGAAGCAGAGTTTTATTCATAATATTCTAATACACAGATGAGACTGCCATAAGTTCTCTCGCTAAGATTCAAAACCATCACTTCAAATACACTCAAAGGTAATTTGCATTCTGGTGAAGAAAACGGAAAAGAGAAGCTATAGTAAAGACCAAAATCATAATAACTGCTCAATTAACATAACTTACAAAGTTTAAACAAGGTTTTAACAAGGTATCGACCAAATTATTAAATAGGTTGAATGTAATAACTTCTTTGGCCAAATCAGTTTAAAATTTTTTATCTGTCTTCATACTGCAAAAAGAAGAAAAGATAAATAAAGACTTACTTTTAAAGATTTTAAATATATATATAAAGCCACACAAAGTCATCCTTACCCTTAGAGAAATAGCCCTCGCACGTCATACTAAATTAAACAAACAACACCACCAACAACAACAAAAAAATCTGAAAGCTTTCAGATTTTATATCACGCACAAAGGGGCGTATTTTTTAACGTTTTGTGGGATACCTTTATTAAATATCATGTTCTTCGCAGTTAAACCATAAAATTCAATTCAACAGCAATATCGCAAAATAATTTTAAAATAAACATATCTTTAGAATTTTCGATACACAGTCTCGCGCGCTGGAAATAAAAATGTTTTCTTTGGGGGGAGGCCTGCACAGTGTTCTCATTGCTCGTTTGAAATCGTTGAGTTTGTTAATCAAAAATTCGTTACACTTTTACAAAATATAAAATAGATAATAAAACAAATTCTAAATTCCAAATTTGGGCTTCCAGATGCCCATATTCGGGTGGAAACGTACGTTATTCAGAATTTGATGGCTCTAGGTACCATCGTTTTATCACAATGTGAGAAACATACATACATTTATGCAGAATCTTCATTATTTATGTTCTTTAAGTATAATACAGGGCTGTAATATTTGATGGCCACAGTTTCAAAAATGAATCGACATTTAAGGTTTTCAACGCAAAATGTCAAAACGAAATTAATAGCCCTTCTGGGCTAACGTCCTTTGGGCTAAATATAACGGATGAGTTGTTCTTTCTTTACAAAAAAAACAGAAATTGTCTTGAGAAATGGGAAAATTTAGCTATAAAGATGAATATGTCAAATGAATATAATAAGAAGTCAAAAAGAGATGTTAAGAAAGTAGAATGTCAAAATCAGTTGATAAAAGAACTAATTTTTTAGAAAAATATATTTTCATAGCCGAAATGTAAAACGTTACACATATTTTAATCTCACAACTAAAAGGAGAGTATGATAGCTACCGATTTCCCGTTTCTGACTGGTGAAAAATTAATATAATTGTATTTAGGTATTTTAAAAGTAGGTTAGGTTAGATTGAGTCTGGTAAAACACATGAGTACTGTCAGCCTAAGGGAAGGGATACTTAGGTATTTTAAAAAGGACTAGTTCCTAACTTAACATTTAAATATTCAAATGATATAAATTCTCCAGATACTTCCTCAAAAAGATAAAGTTTTAAAGATGACGCAAAATTTCAGTATTGTTGGTATCTAAAGTAAAATCATATATTTTAAAGGTCGACCAGCGGCAGAGCGGTAAGGTCGCTGAACCGTAGTAGCTCGGTCCAAGGTTCGAATCCCACGAACGGGCTGGCCGCATGGGTGCTTTCATGGTTTTCCTCATGTGTAACGTGCATATGAGCCAGTTTCCTTAGAAAGTCATCCACGAAGCATCCATCCACTTAAGCAGATAGCCTTTGAGGCTATGCCGTAATCTCAATAAACCAGATATCTTTTAAAGATTTTTCAAGACATGTTTCAGTCATGTCTGAACTCAGATATTACATTAAAAATTTTTTTAACTTTGCCAATTACTATTGTTAGGAAAAGCTAAAATAATAATATGCAAAAAAGACTTTTGTCCCTTCCTCGCCCCCCCCCAAAAAAAAACTTTCAGATATCACTATTTTCTCTACAGAATATGAATTAAATAATGAAGAAGATTTTGGGGAAAAAATATTGTCGATCTTATTTCTTTAGAAGCAAGAAAAATTATTTTACAAAAATAGCTTGACTGTTAATCTAATTAGTTCTGTGTTATTTTCTATTTAACAAAAAGGTACTTTTTAATGTTTTCATTTAAAAATTTAAAGTCCTACGCGTATTAATATTCTAAATACATGAAGTTATGATTGCAAATATTATAAAAATTACTTATAATTTAGTACTGTAGCTGACTTTGTTTAATATAAAAGCATTGACATATAATTAATTTGTTTCTAGGTAGGGTAGCGTATTTGCCTCTTTTTCATACGTGGAAAAAATTCCTAACCACAGCTCTGTATATGTATTAGGAACAATGAATTTTAGCCTAAATTTAAAATAAAAATTTTGAAAGTCTAAGAATAACTGATTAACTTTTGCTCAGTTACAACAACAGTCTGGGACTAAATGAGAATTTATTTATTCTTATTCCTTTCATTAATTTGCCAGTTTATTAATTATTAATAAGCAATTTTTGTACCAACTTAAAAAATTAAGTTTTATTATGCAGTTTACAATTTAATAATTACTTTTTAAGCGATGCCATTGATGTCTTTATATTAGTATTTTATATTTGTTTCTGGTACGAACTTGCCTCACCACCGGCCGATCGGTTAATCCTAGCAGTTCGACCCCGGGGTCAAACACAAGTGAACGGGTTGGATGCAAGCAGATTTTCTTCCCTTTTCCATATGTAACGAGTCAGTATCCCTTAGAAAGCTTTCATGAAGGCATTCGTCCTGTTAGGCAGACAGCCTTTAATGGTTGGTGATAATTAAATAACCTAGCCTATTATGGAAGTACTCAAATGTATTTAATAACTATAATAATATATACATACGTTACATTTTGTTTCATATAAATATGCTTTTTGTTTCAGAGGTAACACTTGTCACCAGCCACTGCATGGACCATTTCCTACACTAGCTCAGGATGACTGCCTATATTAGGGGTATAATCATGATGTCATTGTATCACATGTAATAAATAAAGTATTTAATTTCAGGTTTCTGAGCCCTTTTATTTAACCTTCGCCAACAGAAAAAAATGTTTACGTTGTAATTTTTACAATAAATACTTACTGAAATAATTTTATAAAAGCTTTAAAATGTAATATTGTTCTGGACATCTCTGAAATTAAAGGCTAATTATAATGCTTGTTATTTATGGAACAGTAAGGAGTTTCCTTTAAAAGATAAGAAATGAAAAAAAAGGGTTATTTGTACACAGAAATAAGATACCTCTCGATAGTCTTTTAAAAGAAAATGTACGATTGGCAAATTTTATTCAAGGATAAATATTCGAAATGTAAATATTAAAATGCGTTTCAGGTCTTAAGAAATTCGATAAATGTTTTCTGTATAATTTTGATCGATTTCTATATGCATTAGCTCCTGCGTCAAATTGCTTTTCTTTCTCTGCCTTTCCATCTCATTACAAAATTTTAAAAACTATCAGTGGACGTCAGTAAAGTTTTGAAGTAGAAATATTTCGTGAAAGAATTTCCTTTAAATTTGTTTTCTTGGGAATTTTTAGGCCAGTAAAGTAATATAATACCTTTGTTAATCTCGGGATCAAAATACTAGTTTAAGATCAACTTAACTGTGACACTTTGAATTAATTTAACTTGCACAGTTTCGTATGCACGGGACTACCATGCAGTTTGTGTAAACGGTTTTCAGCAGTTTTGCAGCAACAGCAGTTAACATGGTTAGCAGACCAAATTATACCTTCTATTACTTTCATTAGAATTTCATGGATTTTAACATTCCCCTTAAACACTAGTTATTAACTCAGTGACATATATAAAAAATATATTTAAAGACATAGGTACAGGATAATTCAATTACATAATTAGTAAAATTATAGATTATTATTTACTTTTTGGCAATAGGGTATAATACAGTAATAAAAGAAAACAATATATTCATCACCTATGAAAGTAAAATCTGAAACCCTAAACTTCATGCTTGGGAACTTTCAAGTGAATAATAAATGTACTGAGATATACTCCTGTTGAGAGATATTTATAAAATAATACTTTTTCTTATTAAATCTTTATGTCTTGTCTTGTCAATTAACAAACTTTCAAAGTATCCCTCTTGTCAACTGACAAATTTACGCAAAATCTAGTTCATAAAACTTTACACAAAAATCAATTATTAAAGCAATGAAATATCCGGTTTAGATTTTAATTGAAATAAGTCTGTTAGAATGTGTATGTATGTATATTAAGGCTAAATACCAGACACGAAAACTATGTTATTTAAAAATAAATATATTCTACTAGAACTAATTTATTTTTATTCATTCTAACAGTTTAAAAACCTTTGTATAAGATGGGAAAAGTCTGCTTCTAAAAATTACTCACCTGCAAATACGGCAATGTTAAATTGCCATCTGACTTGTATGTGTAAAAATATTGACTTTTTCTTATCTTCTAATTACAAGTAAACAGCGTAGATTTTTCTAGACAGAAAAACATACGCTATAGTTGGTGAATAAATTTAATGTTAACATAGGTACTGAGCAGTATAACGATAAGGAAAATATTTATTTCATCAGCAGTTTTTTACAATAAAATTCAACGACTCCAACACGATTCAGTTTTTCTAACTCTAAACACACATAAATTGACGTCAATCAAGGTATCATTAAACACTCTAACAAATCGTTTCCATTTGTCAGTGATTTGAATGAACCTGTTGATTTAAAATCTCAGGGTCAAAAGGAATGAGCTCACGATGCTTTACAATGTAAATTCCCTGAAGGCATTATTCGATCGCCCAAGCTCTTCAGACAAAGACATTGAAGCCATAATAAGAATTACACTGCTAAAAATAGTTAAGGGGTTAAGGGATATTCAGATTTTGTATATAAACTGCGAATGAAGAAAACTTTTTTATCTTATGTATGATTTGTAAGCACTATAAACTATTAGGAAAGAAAATAATGTACGGAACAAGGAATAATAATACATTTTTATTCTCATTTTTGTCGGAAAGCAAAAAAAAAAGTCATAGATTATGCATAGTTCATGCATGTCATAAAAAGGAAAAAAGTGTGATTTCTTGGATGAAAGCAAGTTTTAGTGGTAGTCTTTGACCAGTAGCAAGTGTGGTAGTCTTTGACCGGAAGCAATGTTCCACATTTCTGGAGCATGGAATCTGTAAGTTTACCAAGGAGGGACTGAGCTATTCTCTCTAACTACTGTGGCGGTTTTCAGGTGCCAAACTGGTTTTTAAGAGGTGATAAACTACCAGAAACCATACTCCAGAGAATATCTGAAACGTTTTCTATTGAGTTTTTGTCCAGAAACGCATCTGAAGCATTTCTTTGTCAAAAGCAAGTCTTCTACTAGTCAAGCACGATATGGCCTAAACTTGTCACCAATGAAAATGAATTAATCCCCGAATGCTGCAGCATAAGGGACCACAAAAGGTTTGAGAATCTAATATATAATATATTTGAGGGTCTGTTAGAAACCCATTTCTGATTATGAACAGGTTGGCCCTGACATTAATGCGGACATCGGCTAGAAAATCACTTCGCATTTTCAAAATCGGACACGTTTCGTTCACAATTGCAAGATTATTCTGAGTGCCACATTCTCTCCAGATTATAAACTGTCTACTGTCAAGTTGTGTACTAAAGCGGGATTCGTCTGATGAGAGATTATTACTCCGTTCTTTTCGTCCCATTCTGAGATGCTCTTATGCCCAACTTCTACCGGCAGCACGGTAGCCTGTTGTTAGGGAGACACAAATCTTAGGTCTGTGATTATATAAATCAACACTATGGAAGCAGTTTCGAATAATTTGAGTTGAAACACTGTGCCGGCATCTCTCAGAAAGTGTTGTTGCAGAAGGAGTGGCGTTCATGCCACGATTTTTATTGCTGTTGCTGTTAAACACTGGTCTTCATTTTGTGTTGGTGTACACCTACGACTTTCTCCTGGTGTTCGCCAAACGTTTCTTTCTAAAAATCAATTTCATGTTTTGGAAATGACATTTTGTGGTACTCCAAATTCTTCGCTACAATGCGTTGAGTTTGAGCCGTTTCTAAACGACCGATGACCCTCCAGTATTCAGCTACGTTGAGACATCGCATTCACGGTTACGAAGCATTCCTCATATGCTAATTGTTTCCAGTCTTCTCGTTCATAAAGAGTGCTGCAGATCCCTTTTCATTCCTTATCGAAAGCTTGTAATTTTAAAAGTCACAGTTTTTGAACGCTATAATGTTCTTTTCTAACTTCGTTTCTTTCATTTTTATTAAAAGACTAATTTGTTATATAGTTGCTTCATACCGAATTTACAATATTCCCTAACAGGTTTGAGGAGTGTATATCACAATTTCTCAATTTCTTCTTTGCTCGACAAACATTATTGAAAGGTATACAGTAATTTACTCTATCTCTCTGCTGTTGGTTTTGTTTCCGCAACTGTAACTTAGTAATAGTGCCAAAATAATTTCGCAGAAAATCTGTACTGCATTTATAAATTTGTTTAATTCCTAGAACGGTATGTTAAAAACGTTAAAAATTCGTAACTTTGGGCTCCATTACAAGCAAGATCATTTTATCATCCGATATACATGCATATAAACAAAGATAATGTAAAAACACAAAGCGAAAAATAAATAAAAAGGTTTTCAAGGTCTAAATATGAAACGCGTAAAGGTCAAAGTCTATACAAATTCTTTCTTTTCTTTTCTCGTGTTTATGTGAATATAATCATAAAGTTTTCTCTATATCATTGTTATATTTTGAGTTTTTAAATTTTTTCAGAAGCTGCGTTTTTCCCTAGAGTTGATCTGTTATTTTGTTTTGACTCCATTCCTAAAAATTTTTTCCCTTTTCGTTTCTTTTCACTGAGTTTTCTTTTTTAAACGTGAATATGTCTCTTAAAATACTTTCATGAAAATGCCCTAACTATAATTACGAGAATAATTAACATATAAATATTTTACACATATGAGAATAATCTCTGTGTCTCTCCATTCAGTCTCGCAGATCTGAAAACCGCTTTTACAAAGAAAGCTGATTTTTATCACTAAGGTATGTTTTATCTTATAACTGCATACTTAAAAAGCAATAAAACGAAATAAAGTTTTGAGAGATGAAATAGTGCCGTGTAAGTTCTAAAAATAAGAATTAAGTAGCTACAGAATTCAATAAATAAATGCGAAATCGCATAAAGACTTGGTAACAAAACAAAACAAAACAAAAAACTCTGCTTTAATTGCTATCATGCGTCTTGATCATACTTATGGAAAATCATCGGTAGAACTTTAGAGAAATAAATGAGGTTAAATCTCTATGAATGAAATTAGGACAAAAATGCTGTATCGGTTGACTGTTCGGACTTGCCTTCGCCGAATTGCCGTTGCAATAAAACGTTTCGAACTGAAGTACACTGAAATAAAATCCTATTATGGGAGAGGATTGCGATGATATTCTAGATTTGTTAGTATTTTAAGTGTATTCAAGTATATTCGTTAGTATTTTAATTGTATTTAAGTATATTCGTTAGTATTTTAAGTGTATTCTTGTTATGTATTTGTTAGTATTTTAAGCGTATTCTTGTTATGTATTTGTTAGTATTTTAAGTGTATTTTTGTTATGTATTTGTTAGTATTTTAAGTGTATTTTTGTTATGTATTATCGAAAGTTTTCTGATAAGAGTTCCTAGGGTTTTCTTCTACCCCACCTTTCTTATAAATCTGTAAAAGAGATGATGCCGAAAGCAACGCAGGAGAAATCCCCTTTCTTCCAAAAAGTTAAAATAGGTTCTGAAGCAGCAGAATTATGAAATGAAAAATGACTGAATAATGAAATGAAAAAAGCTACATTTTATTTAGCCTTTCCAGCAGCGAAGACTTTGAACATACGATTTTTTTATGCCACACCTACAGATATAGTGCTTTATCTTTAGAACTTTATATTATATACAGAAAAAAGGTATTCAAACTATCAACTCCTATACGCTACGACTTCTTAGAAAAAAA